GATAAAAATCAAATAAATAAATAAATAAATAAATAAATAAATAAATAAATAAATCTATCCGCTACACCTCAATGGCTCCAGTGAAATCTTAGATTTTCAGAGCGGCACCGTTTCCGACTTCCCTTGATATATTTCCCACATCCACCTTGCCTCACGCACATCTTACGTTCGTCTTCCAGGAACCTGATGGCGCCCGTGCCCTCCCCGCCCGTCCCAGCGCCCACGAGCCCATTTCCAAATGCGGCGACTTAGACGTCCTCTTTGACTACAGGCCCTCGAGCCAAAAGCTGGTGGTGACTGTCCTGGAAGCGAAAGATATCCCCGACAAGGACCGGAGCGGGGCGAGTACCTGGCAGGTGCACACGGTCCTGATGCCCGGTAAGAAACAGAGGGGGAAGACGGGCCTCCAGAGGGGCCCCAGCCCGGTCTTCAAGGACAAGATGACCTTCACCAAGCTGGCCCCCGAGGAGCTGGGCAGCTACGCCCTCCGGTTCCGCCTGTACACGGTGCGCAAAATGATCAAGGAGCGGATGATGGGCGAGCGGCTGTTTCGTCTCGGGAACCTCAGCCAGGAGGGGGAAGCGAAGGTGACGCTGGTCCTGGAGCCCAGGAGCAACCTGCGCGTAAGTCCATTTTGCTGAAGCCGCCGGGCAGCTGCTATAATTACTTTCCTCCTCTGCGGTGTCCCCAGGGCCCCAGTGAAGCTATGGCCTGACCAGTGTTCCCCTCTAAGCTGATTCAGTGTGAGCTAGCTCACCTTTTTCTAGCCTCCGGCTCTCGCATTTTTGTCTTCGCTCAGGAGACAAAAGGAGGGCTCCGGAGCCAACTAATTGATGCAGCCGCAAAATCGCTCGCTCACAATCCCAGTAGCTCACAGAGTAGAATTTCTGCTCACAGGGCTCCGCAGCTTAGAGGGGGCATTGCACCGGACCCTCCCGCAGTCTCGACTTTGACAATGTGGGTGAGGGAGTCTGCGTTCGTGCTTCTGTGTTGGGTGATGCAAGACAGCCTCTTTGTGACCACCAGTGTCCCTAGAGTTGCCGCTTCCCCGGTAATGACAAGGGGTAAGAAACACCAGAACCAAACAAAGGTTAGTGAAAAGGAGGGCCAATATTAAAACCTTTCCATAAAAAGAGGTACATGTATTTATTGATAATAACAAATTTTAAAAATCAGCATGGGGAAGTCAGAACTGACATCGCGACACTCTAGAGATTTCAAAACCCCAGTGGTAAAAACCAGAGGGATTTTTGAAATTCCTGAAGACTCAAAATGCCACTTCCTGTTTGAAAAGAGAAAGTGGCATCGTGAAACTCTAGGAATTTCAGAAATCTTTACGGTAAAACAATAGCGCTTTCTGAAATTCCTAGAGCGTCTTCATGTTAATTTCTGTTTCGGGACCAGAAAAGACTTCCAATGGGAGAGCAGTATTGGTCAGAATGTTCATTGGTACGACAAATGGCCCTTCTTTGCATTAAAATTAATAAAGGTGTATTGAAGCCTTGCATATGAAAACAGGATTATCTAAATTGGAACTGGCCTCTCAGTCTCCAAGCGGATTTTCCGTGCCATGATTGGAATAATATGAAAAAAGAGAGTCCTGACCATGTGCAGAGTGCTTTTCCTTCTTCTGTGATTAAACACGCCCCACATAGACGCAGACTTCCAACTGAGTAGTTGATTTCCTGGCTAGACCATCTACGGAATCCAGTCCAAGCCTTCAGCTGTCATAAGAACATAACGTAAGAACATAAGAGAGAAGCCAATGTTGGATCAGGCCAGTGGCACATCCAGTCCGACACTCTGTCACACAGTGGCCAAAAATACCAGGGGCCATCAGGAGGTCCACCAGTGAGGCCAGGACACTAGAAGCCCCCCCCCACTAGAAGTCCTTCTGGTATGCGTGCGTCAGTAAACAGCTGAAGACATATTGTAACCAGCTAATATTTTAAAATCTCGTACCTCAATTGGAAGTGATCACAAGGCTGCTTCAGCTACATTTCTGTGAAGGCGCTCAGTGGGGGAAGGTCATCTTTGAAGAACTCCAACTGAGGCTTGCAAAGCCATTCATTAAAAAAAAAAATCCTCCCATTAAGAATTTGATCTGCCTGCTGTCAAGGAACACCATTGACACGTATTGCACAGCACATTAAATGATGACAGTCACAATAAATGCAACTTAAAAAAAAAATCTATTACCAAAAAGCCAGTCGAGTCTTCTACCCGAAAACAGGGGCAGTTGAGAGGGTTGTTATTTATAAATTATTCCCCATGCAGCAGAGGAAGTATTCTCCTGCACAGTTTTTGGTGTAGTGCTGGTTTGGTGTAGTGGTTAAGTGTGCGGACTCTAATCTGGGAGAACCGGGTTTGATTCCCCACTCCTCCACTTGCAGCTGCTGGTGTGACCTTGGGCAAGCCGTTGTTCTGGCACAGCTGTCCTTGAAAGAGCAGTTCTCAAAAGAGCTCTCTCAGCCCCATCCACCTCACAGGGTGTCTGTTGTGGGGAAGGGACGGGAAAGGAGTTTGTAAGCCGCTCTGAGACTCTGAGTGAAGGATGGGGTATAAATCCAGTCTCCTCCTCTTCTTCTTCTTTTCCCCAAATTCCAGCTGCAGTGTTGCTAACCTATTGGTTGGGTACGTGTGTATTAAGTGCCGTCAAGTCTCAGCTAACTTACGGCAACCCCATAGGGTTTTCAAGGCCAGAGAAGAACTGAGGTGGCTTGCCATCGCCTCCCTCTGGACTTCCTTGGGGGTCTCCCATCCAAATACTAACCCTACTTAGCTTCCAAGATCTGACGAGTTTGGGCTAGCCCAGGCCATCCAGGTTAGATAGCCTGTCGGTTATGAATTGGTTTCTTCCCGTTAATAGAAGCTCATATTACATGGATGCTTGCTGCCAAAATGCCCATCAGCTAATCTTTTGGGGGTTTTCTTGAGTGGGCCCCGTAATGGGACTCTAAAAAGTATGATCCCAAAAATCATCTCTGCAAACTTCCCCGAAGCCACCCTTACAAATCGCTTCTTGTAGTAGAAAAGAGCAAGAGTCCAGTAGCCCCTTAAAAGGTAAAGGTCTCCCTTGCTTGAAAGCCAGTTGAATCCGACTCTAGGGTTGCGGTGCTCATCTCCGTTTCAAAGCCGAAGAGCCAGCGCTGTCCGAAGATGTTTCCGTGGTCATGTGGCCGGCATGACTAAACACCAAGGCGCATGGAACGCTGTTCCCTTCCCACCGAAGTAGTACCTATTTATCTACTTGCAATTTCTTGCTTTTGAACTGCTAGGTTGGCAGGAGCTGGAACTAGAGACGGGAGCTCACTCCATCATGTGGCCCCCGGGTCTCAAACTGCTGAACTACTGACCTTCCACAGCCTGCAGTTCAGCGTCTTAACCACTTGAGCCACCGCAGCTCCATGTTACCCCCCTCTATAAAGCCGGATAGCTCCTTATTTAAGAACTTGTTTAAGAACTGCCTTGAATCTCACTGTATAGCCATGGGCTGGTCACCCTCTTTCACCTTCACCTACTCTGCAGGGTTGTTGTGAAAGGGGGGAAAGTAGTTAAGATCCCGGTATACCACCATGGAGAAAGGGTCAGATAAGAGTGAAATAGAAAGACAAACGTAAGAATGTCTTGGTCCAGGAACTCTCCCTGTCTTCTTCTGACCTTCATCTTTTGTTCCCCTCCCTGCAGCGTGGAGGCTCCCAGATCAGCTTGTCTGCCATCTCTCACAGCGACAGTGCCTCTTCGACCCAGTCCTTGTCCCATGGAGGGGTGCCAGAGCTGCTGGTGGGGCTCTCCTACAACGCCACAACGGGGCGACTGTCTGTCGAGATGATCAAGGGCAGCCACTTCCGCAACCTGGCGTTCAACAGACCGCCCGGTACGTAGAACCATTCTGTGGCCGCTGGGCAGTTCAAACCCATTCCCTTATTCTGATCTCGTGTTGGATGATCATGTCAGGTTTTCAAGCAGAAGCTAGATGGCCATCTGGCAGCAATGCTGATTCTATGAACTTAGGCAGATCACAAGAAGGGAGGGCAGGACAGGTTGCATCAGTGCTTAGTTCTTGTGGCCCTTTCTTACAGGCCCAGGGATATGCCGATCGCCACTTTGGGGTCAGGAAGCAGTTTTTCTCCAGGCCAGTTTGGCTGGGGATGCTGGAGGTTTTTTGCCATCTTCTGGGCGTGGAACATCCCAGAAGGAGGTGATCAATCGATGCTGGAGGTTTTTTGCCATCTTCTGGGTGTGGAACATCGGTCACTGTGGGTGTGGAGGGGGAGGTATTTGTGAATTTCCTGCCTTGTGCTAGATGGACTAGATGACCCTGGAGGTTCCTTCCAATTCTATGATTCTAAAGGCTAACAACATTTGTGGTAGGGTATGAACTTTCACGGGTCACTGCTCCATTCTTCAGATTCTTATCTGAAGAAGTGAGCAGTGACTCACAAAACCTCATACCCTACCACAGATTTTGTTAGACCGGACTCCTACTCTTTTCTACTGCTACACACAGACTAACACAGCTACCTATCTTGATCTATCTCCATTCAGCTCTGTATGATATTGACCAAATCTCCCCATGCAGCTATTTCCCTCCTGAACGTCATGTGATCATGTAAGACTAATATCAAGTAATACCATTGGTCCATCCAAGTTCAGCATTGTCTGTTCTGATTGGCACCTACCCTGCAGGGTCTCGGATGGAGAAAGGTCTTTCTGGACAGCTGTGATCTGAGACCCTTTAGCAGGAGATGCCGGGGTCCGAACCTGGGACCTTCTGCATGCAGAGCAGGTTTTCTGACGTTGGACCACAGCCTTTGTGTGATGCTGTGGCCAAATGAACGGGGGCAGAGGATGAGAACAAACCAATTGATACCAGAGATCTGCTGGTCAGCAGAGTGATGTTTTGGAGTGATGTTTTTGGACTCACTTTCCTTTTTAAGATGGGGGGGGGATTATCTCCAGTGTGGCCACCTATTTGCTCACGGGGGGGAGGCAAGCTGACATGACTCCTTGCTTCTTTCTTTTTTATTTATCTTGATCGATTGATCGATTGATTACAGTAAACGACCAGCAAAAATAAACACAATAAACGTTAAGATTGAAAATGCAATACTTCAAACCTGTATATGACAGGGAGTTTTTTGTAGAAAAAGCCCAGCAGGAACTCATTAGCATAATTGGCCACACCCGACAGCTGAAACTCATTAGCATATTAGGCCACACCCCTGACGTCACAGGTCATTAGCATATTAGGCCACACCCCCATGTTACCAGAAATGTGCTCATCCAGCCACACCCACCTTTTGATTCTTATTCTGTTTACCTGGTTTGTTGTCAAAACCCAGGGCTTTTTTTGTAGCAGGAACTCCTTTGCATGTTAGGCCACACATCCCTAATGTAGCCAATCCTAATGAGTTTCTGCTGTTGGGTGTGGCCTGTTATGCTAATGAGTTCCTGCTGGGCGTGGCCAACTTGGGAGCCAGCCGGAACTCCGTTCCTGTGCGTTCCTGCCCAAAAATAGCCCTGGTATGAAGAATCCTAGTTGCAGCATTAACATTTAAAAGTGCAATGTGCATTCTGTTTCTCAGAAAGATCTTGCTTTAGTACAGTACTCTGAAACTTTCTCCGTAGTCCGGTGTGATTCATTTTTAAGGAGAACAGTAAGAATTTTTCGTCTCTTCCCAGGAATTTTCTTACTTCATTTATACCACGCGTTTCTCCCCAATGGGGACCCAACATGGCTTCCATTATTCTCCTGTCCTCACAACAAAGAGCCAGTGTGGTGTAGTGCTTAAGAGCAGTGGACTCTAAACTGGAGAACCAGGTTCAGTTCCTCACTCCTCCACCTGAAGCCAGCTGGGTGACCTTGGGCCCGTCACAGCTCTTTCAGAGCTCTCTCAGCTCTCCCCAATAAGTCTAGCTCACCACCTCTTGGTGCACAATGCTACAAGAGTTAGAACTTAAGGCAGCCAGATAATCCTCAGATCTCCTGGCTCTACTACACACAATGCCACACAATAATTCTTGTTCTTATTCCTCACAACAACAATCCCGTGAGGTAGGCTAGGCTGAGATCATGGGACTGGCCCAGGGTCGCCCAGCTAACTTCCATGGCAGAGCAGGGATTCGAACCTGGGTCTCTCAGATCTTAGTCCATCACTCTAACCACTCCACTACGCTGGCTGTTCCCAAATAATAATAATAATATACTTTATTGTCATTGTACATAGTACAACGAAATTAAAGATGCAATCATTTCAGTGATCTACAACAATATTCATATACACTCACACACCATTCACTACTGTCCCATAACTCCCTTAAGGTTCACATAACAACTTAAAACCACCAATGTCACCCAAATTCCAATTTCATACAGCATTTAACGCAATAATAGCTCTCGAATAAAAACTATTTTTTAATCTATTTGTCCTTGCTTTAATTGTCCTATATCTTCTGCCCGAAGGCAGCAGTTCAAACAGGGAATGTTCAGGATGTGACAAGTCCTGCAAAATGTTCTTTGCTTTTTTCAAACATCGAGAACTATACAATTCCTCCAGGAATGGGAGAGGGCAGCCAATGATCTTCTGGGCTGTAATAACAACTCTCTGGAGTGCTTTCCTCTCCACAGCCGTACAACTGGCAAACCAGGCACAAACACAATATGTTAAAATGCTCTCTATTGAGCAGCGAAGTCGTGCACACTTCTTTTTTTGTGGCGGTGGTGGGGAATACACTGTACACTTTAGTACAATCACCTTCCATCTCTTAAAGCATTTTCAGTGCAGCCCTTTTGGGTGAACACAGTGGTCTCTTGTAGGCTCAGAGGGCTAGAGCAGCTGCCCTATGAGAATGGGTTAAGATGCTTTGGGCTGTTTAGTCTAGAGGAAAAAGGCAAGTAAGGGGAGGCATGATAGAGGTCTATGAAATCATGTGTGGCGTGGAGAGACCTGGGGTCATCCACTGAAGCTGAAGACTGGGAGATTCAGGACAGTCAAAAGGCAAGTATTTCTTCAAACAGTATTATGTATATATAAATTGTGGAATTTCCTGCCACAGGATGTGGTCATGGCCGCCATCTTGGAAGGCTTTAAAAGGGGAGTGGGCGAATCGGTGGAAGACGGGGCTCAGGCCCTCGCAGAGGTCAAGAGAGGCCCAGACCACTTCCATTTTTGAGGGGAGCCCCCCTCAGTAAATTAAAAAAATGAAGAAGTGCGAAAACAGTTATACAGAATCAGTAGTATTATATTTTAAATGTTTAAATTTAATACAAGAAAAAGGATATTGTAAGACTGTGTAATAAATGTTCCCATTTTTATTTAACATGTGATTTAACGTCAAAAGTGTAAATTTGAGGGGCCTCCCCTGAGAATGTGAGGACCGGGCCAAATGGCCCTGCTGCCCCCCCCCCCAGGCTCTGACTGGGCTATTCGTGGCTACGAATCATGATCAATATCTGCCCCCTTCAGTACCAAAGGTTTTTGTTGTTGTTCAGTCGCACAGTCAAGTCCGACTCTTCGCGACCCCATGGACCAGCTCCCGCCAGGCCCTCCTGTCTTCCGCTGTCCTCTGAAGTTTGCTCAATTTCATGTTCGTTGCATCTATGACACTGTCTAACCATCACATCCTTTGCCGTCCCCGTCTTCTTTGACCGCTGTCTTCCTGTCTGAGGACTTCCTAGAGGCAGCTGACCGGCCACTGTGTGAACAGAATGCTGGACTTGATGGAGGCCTTTGGTCTGATCCAGCAGGGCTCTCGTTCGTGACTTTATTGCATTGGCTCAAAGCCTTAGCAAAAAACACCAAAATGTCAAAAACGACATCAGAACCATTATATAGCAATCGCAATAACAATTAAACTCTTAATATCCATTACAGATCTATAAACAGTTTTAAAATCCTGACGACAATGACAATCTAAGTTAAAAACAACAAGAATTCAAGAATTCAGTTGGTCAGACAACATAATGCAAGGATTTATCCATCGGCCGCATTAACAGTTGCTGTTTTTGACAAGGTCTTTATCACCTTTGCCATTTGCAGTGTTTCCGATTTACTTTTGCCGGCAAGCAGTATAATTAGTCTGTCATTGTCCACTCTCCTTGGATATTGTAATAAAATATTCCCGAGCTATTTTTCGCGTTCAATGTTCCCTTTAATTTCCCCCCCTTCTGAGCAGAGCACTTCATATCCTGAGCAGAATAGAACTGCTGTGATCTTAAAATGGGCAGTGCAAGACCTTGTGCGGCTCCAGATTGCTGCTGAGCGGGGCTTCCTGTGTTAATGAGCGGCCACTCATGTGCCACAGCTTAGAGCAGAGATGTCGAACTCATTTGTTACAAGGGCCGGATCTGACAAAAATGTCACTTTGTTGGGCCGTGCTATGTGTACCATAAAATTTAATGCCAGGTACTGGAGATATAAACTGTATAAAGGAGAACAGCTGGTAACCTCCGAGTTGGTGTATCCTCATGGCAAAGCTCTATGGGCTGGGAAGGAGGTGCCAAAGAAAACCTGTATGGGTAGACTGGAGAGCCAGCGATGCAGCACTGGGCAGACGCTCCCACACTGCTTGACTGCTGCAGACGAGGTTGTTCCGCCATGCTGAAGCCACAATCAGAGCGGCTCCTCTCACTTTCCCCCCAAGCAGTCTCTTGTTCCCTCCCTTGCATTAGTTGCTCACGGGCCGTATAAGAGCCCTGGAAGGGCCAGTTCCGGCCCCCGGGCCTTATGGTGGACACCCCTGGCTTAGAGGAACACTGCATCTTGTTATGTTCTTATGCTCGTACTTGTATTAGGGAAAGGACATCGCTCAGTGTTAAAGGGCCTGTGTTTTGTTCAGAAGGCGACAGGGTAAACCCCTGGCAGGGCTGAACCG